CATAATTTGTTCAACCATATGCCATATTCTTCATAATAAAGCCGATATGCTATACTTATTCGTCATGTATAGTTTGATGAACTCATTAAATCATAGCTTTTCCGGCAGGACCTGTTCTGTTTCCTTGTGTGGCAACTTGTTAGCGGGCGACATGTCAACTGTCAACTAACATTGTCCTCTGTCAAGTTTGTCTCGCCATGTTGGCACTACGCTTTCTATTGTTGGTTAGATTAGCTTACGCTTGTATTGGTTTGTTTGTTTATTAACAAATTCGATTAATTTGCAATAATTTCAATTATTAATTCTTATATTTTATTTATAGCGTTTGGGTAATTTAGCGCATATGAAATGTTTCGAATTCGTTTTTTTCTAATAAGTATTATCAGCCAGTATTAAACAAAAAGGCTTTCTGCTTTTTAAATATCTGTATGATCTGATCTTTTAAATATTATTGAAACATAAAATTTAATTACCCTTATAGATGTGAATTTTGAATAACAAACTCTTTCACATTTTTCACACTTTTTTAAATTTAGTTCGAATCTATTAATGTCCCAATGTTGTTGCACAGGTCTTTTCTCCTAGGTACAGAAGAGAATTCTGCTCCAGGGCGGGTTAATCGGTTTCAGTGATTACCAACACTGAGATAGTAATAATAATAATCGGGTATAATTGCTTACGAATTAGAAAAATACCACCCTATAAAGCTTAAAATTTGTTTTAAGTAATACATTTCGCGTTTTAAATCGTTAAATGTGTGAAGTCTTTAATATTTTTTACATCACACTTGATGGCATTATATAAATTAAACGTCGATTTTTGCGCGAGAGGCATTTGTGCATTGTATTAATAGGATGATATTCGACGATAACGTGTAGGACACGGTAGCTCAAATGTTTAGAGCAACAGCACGGAACGCTGTAGATGCCGGTTCAAGTGTGCAGTACTTGAACCGGCATCGACAGTCGCTAGTGCGTCGCTAATATTTCTTTCATCATTCAAATCAGTTATTTATATATTATATTCCAAACCAAACAAACATTTTGAATAACCCTGATTTAAACTCTGCAACTCGCGACAAGCAGTTACATAGACAACTAAATATAAAATTAACAAATGAGTTACCAAAAATCACCTCCCACTCTCCTCAACTTATTTGTTCTTCACAAACGTTGGCGGCCAAGTACATACGTTTTCCAAAATCACTTAACAACACGATCACGTATTAGCTGTGCATATAAGTTAACCTCCGCATCAGCTAGACGTGTCGTCATTTGGGGTCAGGTGCTGCGAACGGTATTACGGTACCTCGTTTGACGACGTTGCTGACCCTACGTGGTCTGAAGCTTGTGGCTTAGCACCGTTGTAAAGGTCATTGTGGTGACATCTGGTGGCATTTTTTGACCTTTAACTGCTGCTCATAATTGTATAAATGTTTTTTGGAATTTTTTAGCGTTTCTTTTCATCAAGTAAAATAAGTAAATAAGAGTATCCCTGAACGTCTTGTATTAAAATAATTGTGTATGTAATTTTTTGCTTCTGTAACTTTGTAATATCCTTATTTATTAAAGGGTTTTTTTACGGCGATTAGAAAATACTTGAAGTACATGTTTGTAAATAAAGATGAAAACTTCTCCAATCTATTCTTCTTGGCACGGCTAAAATAAATTTGAATTTTAAAATAAATTTATTCAATGCAATTCCTAATAATACATGATTATTTTGTCACTCCTGCACCTCTTCTCGGACTTGTATTGATTGTATTTTTTAAATGTATGTCATGAAATACACCATTATTAATGCATTTACTTTTATATTACATATCGCATAACTAGAACTAAACGTAATTACCATAACCCAGTTGTGAGCAATTTCCGGTCCACAAAACAGTCCATCGATTTCAATCTACAAAACGACGAAAATTACTCGCATCCTATCAGTAGCAAGTCAATATTTACGTTCATCTTACGTTTGCGACTCCATTTGACGGTTCAACCTAACGGTCACCATTTCCTCCCGAGCCTTCGCCACCGGAAGTCATCGCTCATCGCTTGCCTTGACAATTTTTGACCACTTCCGTTCAATTACCACATGATTTGACCAAAGTGTAGACGTCTTTAGTCAAACTATAGAAAGAAATAGATACAGTATTGCAGCTCTACAGTATGCCTTTTCAAAACAAAAACTGGCGCCTTCTTCAATCCTACATAAACAATGACGACATTAAAATTATTGTATTAAATCTGCCATTCGAAAGATTGATCAGATTTATTTTAATACAACACTTTAACTGTTTAAAACGCGATGTATTAAATACTGTCTATAGTTTACGCGAGTAGTACACATTTACATAAAACGCTTTAACGGTTTAAAACGCGATATATTAGTTAAACTTATTGAAAATTGATTTTTAACTTCGCCCTGACGTTTCGGATGCTTTGCAGCAGCCGCGGTCACGGGAGATCTCCCAATCCGAAACGTAGGGCCGAAGTTAAAAATCATTTTCAATAAGTTTAACTAATATATCGCGTTTTAAACCGTTAAAGTGTTTTATTTAAACGCGACGTATTAGTTTCGCATGTCAAATATATTCTCGTTTAAGTTTCGTGTTTTACACATTAAACACTTCATAGTCATTCAATCATTATAATCATACATTTAATCATTATACATGTTTCTTTCTTGTCTGTGCCTACTGTTTGATCTATATACTGTGCTCGATAGAGCTATCGTTTTTACGATCAATATTTCAAAATCGCCGCTCTGCGCCCAAGTTTCTAATGCCCATGGGCAGTTTGGAGATTTATTTTATGATAGCTTTACTCAATCCCACCTTTTTGATTAGGTTTTCGATTCGAGTTTTCTTAATTGCTTTATAACTTTATGCTGGGATATTTAAATTTTCATAACCCAAAGTGCTCACTCACCCAGTTACAACTTACTTTACTGATAATGATGTAAAGGGCACAGGTAATAAGGTAATAAGGTTATATTTAACATCCTTAGCCTAGTTTAAATAAATTAAAAATAAGTAACTTTTATTTTCGCGTTTAAAACCGTTATTTTTTTAATTCTTTAAGGGAATTTCATATGCTTATAAATGAATTTTCCTTAAAGGATTACGCTTTTACGGTCTCACAACGGGTTGGACTATACATTTGATCGACAGTAATTTAAATACTGTCTATAGTTTACGCGAGTAGTACACATTTAAATAAAACACTTTAACGGTTTAAAACGCGATATATTAGTTAAACTTATTTGAAAATGATTTTTAACTTCGGCCCGACGTTTCGGATGCTTTGCAGCAGCCGTGGTCACGGGGAGACTAAGTTAAAAATCATTTTCAAATAAGTTTAACTAATATATCGCGTTTTAAACCGTTAAAGTGTTTTATTTAAACGACAGTAATTTGTTTAACGTGATACAATTTAACGACTTTATGATCAGTGGATGGTGGTTCGTGACTCGGACGGAATTTTGATGTTCCTACCACTCATTTAATATCCAGATTTCCAGACGAAGTCCATAATGTTTCGGAAAAATTATAAATTGAATAATTAAAAACGTCGGACCCGGAGGCATACATTGCTACCAACGAGGCCGTCATTTTTCGTTTGAATCAACAAAGTAGAGACGTATAAATACAGACGTCGTATGTGGTCCACGCTGTTATATAATCTATTGTATCGTGCCCTAATTTAGACATTCATTGATCTCGAATGCCCATTTGCACACAAACGCAAGCTAACAAAAGCTTTAAAATAAATATAAGGCTGTGGTCTCATATAATTGATGTAGGTCGCGGCCACACTTTAACCATTTAAAACGCGAAATACATTAGTTAACTCATTTTGATATTACAACCGCCCGTCGTTTCGGATGCTTTGCAACAAGCGTGGTCACGGGGGACAAAGTATTCAAAATTTCGGATTTTATTAAAATAAATCAAAAATAAGTTAATGTGTGCTACTTTAAATCATACAATACTTGTCTAACGAATTTCAAACTAAAGCGTTTATATTAGACCGCAGGCTAACGCCTCTACAACGAGTCAATTTGAAATAATTTCCCCATAACGTATCCGACATTATTGCGTACGTGGGATGCTATTCTTATGAAAATATTATAGCTATGGTAAATGGAGCCATCATTGTTATCCAACAATGGAGATTTACAGAGTAATAATGTTGGATTAGTTCTTAGTAGACGTATATTCAAGTGCAAATAAGGAATAACTTGATTTCTATTATATCGCTATTAAACTTATGAATCTGTAAGTGATTGTTCTAGAAGAGTTGAGCACTCATTGTTGTGCCTTTTATGTATTATATTTTATTTATTTATTATACGTTTATAGGGTAATGCGATACAAATATTAAATTTATATAAAATACAAATCACTTACAACATTGTAATATTTTTCTTAATGTTCATAAAAACAAATTTTCTGGATTGCACAGCAACTTTTAGGCTCATGCAGTTTGCTGTTCTTATTCACTTTCAGATAAAATGACGGAAACAGAATGTCTTTTTATAAATACATTTTATGAGTGATTTAAAGAAATCTTCTTGTTGGTCTTATGGAAGTAATGTATAGCTCACAACTAACGGGTCGTAGAGTCAAATACTACGAGATCCAAAATTTTTCCAATCGATTCACATGTCTTCTGCAAATTGTTGGATTTAGTTTAAAATATCTCGATTTTACGGTTGGTAGAAATATCTAAATTTCTTACGGGTCACGAACTATCGTAGTGAAGTATGTATTTTTGAATGTCAAAGCCATAATGAATCCACAACAAGTACATAGCACAACTCCATAGGTGCCTGACCTCCTCTGTCAAAATAAAAGTTTTTATGGATCCTAACCTTGTCACACTTTGCCCAAGTTCTGAGATATTTTAAAAATAACATCTTAATCTAAACTTGTTTAGAAGATTAAAATCACAACAAAATTGTGTTGAACTACAAAGTTTCATAACGCTTAATCAAGACAAATGGCTCAATTACCTTTGATGCTACATTATTGCGTTGTGAGACCCCGATTCTGCTATCTGACGGGACAGTGCAAGCGAGACGCCGTCGACTTACCATCGAGTTCTAAAATAAACGGGATCCAAGGTATTATTTTATCACCTATATATAATAATATGCTAATATAATAAGCCAGTGTATTATTAAAATATCAAATGTATTCCATTCAGTCAAAGACCGCCTCTGTTGTCGACCAGCTAAACGTTCCCTAGAAGTGACATGTGTGATCCTGGGTTTGAATCCTGGAGAAAAAATAGACTGTTTCGGTCCAGCACGGAGCAAAAGTATGAATAACTGCTTGTCTGTAAATAATACCGAACAGTGAAACGGACACATAAATGTGTTCGTCTTATACCCAACGAGGGACAAACTCGATTTCAAAAGTCAAAGGTTGTGACCGGCTAGCGAAAGGCAAGTGTAAAACAGCAGAATCAGATCCCAGTAGGTCAATTATGGGCGCTGTTCTGGTAATATTTTTTGGACATCACACTGTAATTCATAGATGATTTATGGGTAATTAATATGGACATGAACGCGACACTTTAAAATACAGCTAGATAACTGACAAGTAGACACATGTACATTTATTTTTTTAGTTAAACGGCTGTAACCTACATTTATAGGTCATATCACCCCCTCGCACACAGACACATTTTTATAGTATTATTAACATACGTAATAATTTATACATACGGTGTGTATTATACACAATTCTTTAATTAGGAAATAAATCTCATTTTTTATTAAAGATACTATTTGATAAAAATACCTTAAAATAAAACATTCAATTTCAAAAGAAAATTTTATAGTAGGCTGGTACAAAGTTTGAAAGTAAGAAATACCACCACCTGCGTGCCTTGGAAGCATCACTAACTTATGGGTTCCAATAGTTATCCCACATACCTGTACTGCAGCGAGGGTCTTAAAGCTTTTCTCCTTCGGGGCAAGAAGACTGTACTCTCATTTGGAAATCGCTCAAACGAGATACGGAATAATAAATGATTACTTCACATAAATTCAAGTTTTCTTGATCTCATTACACGCTAGATGGCGCTGGTAGATTGGTGGAAAGCTGCGGGTTAATTTCGACTTCAAACGACCCGTCCAATGTGATTCTTATCTTGAGCGCGACACGGCAAGCAGGTCGACTGTGTTCATCTTTTATACTCTCTATGGTATATTATCGTCGACTGAATATTAAGTTTTTAATAAAGAAAAGTTTTTCCCATTATATTGTTTACATTTGGCGTTTGGGTACACTAGCTCCCACAATAAGCTCCCCTGTTTTGTGGTCGCCTAGTCTCTTCTACTATACACCCATATGTAGTCCATTATATTTTTAATACTAACCACTAACTACATACTAAGTTAATAAATGCTAATTTTTGAGTTTAAAAGATCACACCATAATATAGTGAGGAAAAAAGAAGGCTTCCTGTTTCGTTTCGATTTCGTTTACTAAATAGCCAACAAATCTTCTGTGTGATCCTATAACCGGGTTCATGCTACAATTTTACAGGCGATAATCTAATGTAAAAAATAAACAAGATTTTATTACAAAAACAGTACATTGATACAGACAAAATCAAATTTTCACTAATAAAAAAAATTACATAGTGTAATCTCGTACATTGAGATTATGTCAAATTATTATTTAGTTACTACACTATGTCAGAAATATTTTACAGTTCAAGATTAGAAGTACATTTTCTAGGAGCAATTTTGACAGAATAGCATGACTTGATGGGCGGTAAAATACCCTAGCCACACATTTAAAGAAGATGAGCTGTCGTCTTATTTTGGATTTGCATTTCATAATGAGACTATCCTTAAAGTAATTTAGTGTAATAAATCTCGTTATCTGCATTTTGTATCTCTACTTTCATAAAGAGTAAACTTTAAAACTGTCCAAGTCAGATACAATGTGATAAAATACCGCTTAATTTGAACAACATTTTAACACGTCGTTGTAAGGTTGGCAGGACTGACATAAATGTGAAATAGTTTAGGTTTTATATTAAACCAAGTAAAATTCCTACTTGCAGTTTAAATAGATATGAATTATTGTTAAAGAAGAAAAATAAGAATATTAGTTTTTAACGAATATGTTTAAAACGCAATATCAACTAATTTTTAATAATCAATTAACAGTTTAATATATCAATTTATTTACTACGTATTTATACGATACGGCGGCATGACGTTTCAAATGCTTTGCAGCAGTCATGGTCGCTTCGACGTTAGGGACACTCTCCATCTTCACTCCCCCCACGGCTGCTACAAAGTCTCCGAAACGTCGTGCAGTAGTAAACATAGCATACATATAAATTGTAAATAAGTTAGCTAATACCTTTTAAAACGTTAAAAGTGTTTTATTTAAATATAATTCTTAAATAATTCTTTACTGTGTTCCTACTTAATCACGTGGGTACATACAGCAAGATCTTTTCCCACCAAATGTAAAATATATTGTTAAAAACCTTTTATAGCTTCTATGAGCAACTTTGTACAACGAATTAAATGTCTCCAACTAAGAACGGTAATTGTGAAAAATTCGTGGCCGTTGCGATGCTCAACCGGTTGTTTCCTTACATGGACGATGTAATTGTGATGTGACATTTTTGCGAGGTTCGCGAGATGCGATCGAGTGTCAATGTTAAGGGCAGAGGTTGATAACACGTGAATGACTGTAAAAATACATTTGGTTTTTGCCCCTATAGCTGTTAAACCCAAGGACTTATTCTATACATATTATATTGGTTACTTATTATTAACATTTTATTAATCTTTTAAATAATAAGAAGTTGTTCTAGCATCCTTCGACTGTTTGTTTCTTGTGAATCCTTTTGAAGAGAGAACATTTTATATATATAAAAAAAAACACCTTTAAGGTTAAAAAAGATTAACGAAACGTCGGGCTGTTGTTAAGAAAGAAAATTACGAATTTAAATAAAACACTAACGGTTTAAAACGCGATATAGTAGTTAAACTTATTAGAGAATTATTTTTGATGGTAGTGGTCACGAGGAGACTAGGCGGTCTCCCCGTGATCGCTGCTGCAGAGCATCCGAAACGTCGGGCCGAAGTTAAAAATCATTTTCTAATAAGTAGTTTATATCGCGTTTTAAACCATTAAAGTGTTTTATTTTAATGTGTACCACTCCTGTAAGCTGTAGACAAATTTATCGAATATAATTGAGGGTCTCTAGTTTTACGCGATCAAATTATAAGGGTCCTTGCCCAATAATCGATATTTACATTCCAGTAGTGTAAATGTTGTTATTAATATTATTTTCTTATTTGCACAGGCGAAGGCGGCGGGGGCGCAGTGCAACGTTGCACGCGCGATGCGGCGTCGCCGGCGCACGCGCATGCGCCGGCGCCAGCGCAGCCCGTTCCACAGACCGTCAAAGTTGAGCGGTATAGTCCCCACGAATCCACCGCCTCCAGGTAACTAACTTATAATATCTATACTAATATATAAATCTGAAGACTTTGTTTGTTTGTATATTTGAATTCGCTAATCTCAGGAACTATTGGAATCAAATAAAAAATAGGCTATAAAACATACTGCTGTGATGAAGATAAAGCGGGAAATGTGTAACAAACGGGAAATATTATTTATCTCTGTAGGTGTCCGTTACGTGCACTGCGAAAACGCTGAAAAATACCTTAAAAATGTGCACGAAAGAATGATTTCTCTTTAAATGATATAAAAAAATGTAATAAGAAGACGTCAGTCTTATACGATTAACTTGCAAGAACGACGGAACGCGCAGGGTGAGGACGGAGGACAAATTTTGATGCGCAAACAACTATTCTACGCGGACGAAGTCGCTGACGCAGCTAGTTATATACACACTATATAATCAAGAAATCTCAAATTTTTATGACAAAAGAAAATGACAGTGATTCCTATGAATTATATCGAAGTTTAGAGAAAAATAAGGGACGTGTCGTAATTTTTTTTTTCAATCTCAAAGCGATTTTTCATTTATACAGTGCCAAAATGTGAAAAATATTAAAGTTGTCAAAAATAAGAGATAGGCCTAAAACTGATTTGCTTTATAGATCTCGCAGTGTGACGCCTTCAACGTCGTCGTACCCGGGCACGCCACCGGAGCGTGGCAGCCCTAGCCACGCGCCTTCTGCGCCGGCGCATCCACCCCGCAACTATTCGGACATCATGCGCTCGCTCGCTGCGAGGTACAACACGCATCCTGCCAATGAGTGAGTATGAAACACCATATACAACCCAGATGACGAATTATTTATATTTTATTCCTTAAGGGTTTAAAAATTGAGCTACCGAGACTCGGCTCAATTTTTAAACCCTTAACATTGCTAGGCAAATTCTTATTCGCACTCCCTCAAATAGTATGGTTCGTTTTCCAGTGTTTTTTTTAGGTTATATATTATATGTTGTAGGTCTTTTGTTATGTTAAGTCTAAGTTTTGTTTAAAAGTTCCTAAACTTTTCTTATACTTTACATATTCTTATACTTTTATTAAGACAAGTAAATAGGAGTGTACGTTTTTTAAATTTAGAAATCTAGTCTTGACAGATAATGTGTTTGTTGAAATAAATAAAGGATAGTGAAATAAGAACTAAATTACGTGACTGTGCTTTAAAAAATACATTTAATCTTGTATTAATGTGTACTTAAAATTCCTTAGAAAAATAACACGTGACTCAAGATATTAGGTAAAAACGTCCATACCTTATCTATATTTTAGGATTCGATTATCGCTAAATCGATTCTTCTATAAAGCTGCCATAAACATCAAAACAACACCTAAATGCGCGCCTGCGACCCAATAGTTCAGCGACCAGCTAGTGAAGTCCAAATCGATTTGCATATTAATCGATTCGACAACAGATCGCGTTTAGTCGACAAATTTACATGATTCGTGAGAACCGACGTCTGAACTTATGTTATATTAATGAATTGTTCATCTCACGGTGTAAGGTCAGTGACCTCTGTCAATTTTAATTACGATCGGAGCTATCGGTGCCTCGGTGTCTTTCGCCGGTCACACGCACCATTTAAGCGATAAACGACTATAGATCTATTCGCATAAAACACAAATTCCTTTAACCAATCACAGTTTTATGCTCGAATGCTCAATTCTGTGTGTAGTTAAACACCTGCATCAAGTGATAAATATTGTTTCACCTAATGAGATAACAAAGGTAAATAACTATTTCGAATTGAATAAATTAGGTTTAAATTGAGTCTTTATATTGATTCGTGTTACGAAATTGTAATAAATCACTATTGGCTTCCGTTACTTATTACGATACTGACTTTCGGAGATAATGTGTCGTTGGCTTGTTTGATATCTTTTTACTTTAAAGTAATAGAACATCGAAATATTAACAAAACGACACCTTAATTGATTATATTAACAAACCGTTATAATATAAATGTCAAATATTCAATTTGATCTGTTAAAAAAAAATTCAACGATTTATAACGCGTGCTAGTTTTTGACATTTCTCAATAAAGTTCATGTCAAAAATTTCTTCTATTCACTAAGTTGAACTGACAAAAATTATCGTCAATTCAAACCAATAGTTCCTGAGATTAGCGCGTTCAAACAAACAAACTCTTCAGTCTTATAGGATTTTAATATTTGATTATATTAATATTTGAATAATATAATGGTCTCACATAATCATCAAATCATTCTCTTCATAGTGACCTTACCTGACCTTCTAAACGCTATAATTCTCAAAGCAATCCACAGACTATATTCAAACCACAGATTATGTTGTGCAGGCTACTAAAAATACCTGACCCGCGGCACTGTTCCTTAAATCCGTATAATTTACACGTTTAAACCGTCTAATTATAGACCGATATTCGAGATTATACAATTCAAGGATATTGCATAAATTTTTGCAACAGTAGTGAGTGATAATCATGAATTACTAACTAATAGAGGTGTATTGAAATAATGATCGTAAATTATACTCAATCTATGTTATTACGACTAAAATGTATTCTTTTCTGGGTAGCGTCGGGCCATTTGTGGTAATTACTGATTCGGTCTGACCAGCCTTTAAAGTTGCCCCTACAAGAATTTTTATATAGTGTTGAATAATGAAATTTGTTGAATTAAAAAAATTAAATAAGGATTGTCTATAATAAACAAGTAGTACACATTTAAATGGAACATATGCAACGGTTTAAAACAAGAAATGCACTAGTTAAACTTATATTTGATTTATTTTAACTCACTAACGGTTACCGTGACCACGGCTACTGTAAAGCATCCGAAACGTTGTACTTAAAATAAATCAAATATTACTTTAACTGTTATTTCGCGTTTTTAACCGTTTAAACTGTTTTATTTAGAATTTATCTAAGTCAAGTGCAACTTTAAGTTGCCATATATTACTTCCATACAGACTTTGATACAGGCAAGTTTACCAGACTTCTGTGCCCTGCCCCAACAAAACAGTGTATTGCATCCCCGGGACTCGAATCTAGAACATCGCACACTTAACGCAACACTAAGCAACACGTTTAACTATTTAGCTACAGGGACGGTTAAGACCGTCTTTAATTTAAAATCAACTTAGCTACAGAAGCGGTCTTTAGTATTATATTTAAAATAATTTATTTAAATATAGAGATCATATTGTTATCTAACGTATGCTTTCTCTGCAGTTACTTCCACCGAGTCAACGGCTTCAAAGCGGAGCCCCGCGCCCCAGTTCAAGACGCGAGTGATACACCAGTGGGAGGGCTTTTCGCGAAGCTGGCTAAGCAGCAGGGAGGCCCACCGCGGCTACCAGCATTTCCGGTCATGATAGACATGAGCTCTACAAAGGTAAACTACGTGTCAGCGAGTGATTCATGGCATATACCACAACACAGTTTTCAATGCCCACAAATATATATAAAAAATAAATAAATATCTAAAAATAGATAAAAAACACAAACAAATAAAATAAGGAGTGATACATTAGCTAAGGTGATTATTGCCTAAGATGGTAGTAGTAAGTGCTTGTGGCACAGGTTCGAATGTCTAAGAATTTTTAATTACTTTTTATTTATCCATAACATATTTTAATATTCTTAGTTAGTTAAAAATAATGTTTAATGTCCGTACATTGTTTGGAGTTTACACGAGCAGTTTAAATCTTATTTTAATTGAATTTATGTTAACTTTTACCGGTTTAGAATGGAAAATATATTGATTATTATATTTGAACAACGGCACGACGTTTCATATGTTTTCTTGCAGCCTTGACTATGTATAAGAGTTACCCCAAGAGAATTCCTAGATGATGTAGACCAAAGACACATAATTCGATTCAGTAGTTCCTGAGATTAGCGCGTTCAAACAAACGAAGTCTTTAGCTCTATATTACTATAGATTTCATATCGCGTTCAACTCGCCACAATTATACCAACATACAAACCGTAACATTTTACGAAACGCGCGCCTTTTAAGACAATAATTAAAAGATAAAAACACTGTTTTACAATTACCTTTAGTACATAACTGGACAGAGGCAGTGCCCGGGTGAAACAATTTACGCTCAGATGAGTTTTAATTTCATAAAGCAGTCTTTAAAATTCATTTATTCCGTGCTCAGTGACCTTACTGTGTAATTGTGGTCTCTTCAGCGTTTCATAGTTCACGGCGATGATTAAGACGTCTAATGATAAGCCGCGCGATTTATCTTAAAGATCTTTATTGAATAAAGCTGATTTATGATAATTTCGCTCTTACCACGCAGGTAACCGCTATTAATGAGTTGCTAAGCTCACTGTTCATGTTACAATTGCTCTGAGAGGGATACAATGTATTTTTATTTGTTAGATTTACATATAAAAAACTAATTTAGATTGACAAAATGACACGTACGGGATTCGAATACGTACCGCCATAAGGGTTCATTGCTTAAAAATATAATTTTAATGCTTTTTTAACAATTTCTCGCATACTACATACAAAATTAAAAACAATAAATAGGAAAAAATATCGCTAACGGGCAATGTTTAAAAGAAATGGAATAACTATCCCATTTTTTGGAAAATAGAATAGTGTGATAAATGTAGAATTCACAGAAAAAATATGTAGAATATACAATCTTTTATAAACGTATATCCTAATTTTAGATACGAACACAAAATTTTAATAATCATTCCAAGATATTTTATAGTACACTTGTTTCCACACGTACATATAAAAAAGTTTGTAGTTTAGTCTCTTTTTTCGTGAAAGATAAGAAAAAAGCTTCTTTATCTGCCAGTAGTCAGACGAAAACACGACAAATTTATTTTGCCTAGACGAGAACAAATTTTGAAATAGGAACACCTTTGCTCCTATATTCCAAATATATATACTGTTATTTACATATTAAAATCAAATAATAACATTTCGTTAATTGTTTAATACATTTTTAAAATGACGTATTTTTACCCTATTCTGAAACCATATTGTTCTTTCTGGGTAATGAATCGGCTTGCTATCGTATTAATCTATTAACATCCTCCTCGTTACAATGTCTGACACTGAGCTAGTTAAATGTATAAATATTATAATTAGATTTTTTACAATCATAACGCGATTACACCGTGCTTCCTGTGGGGTAAATTGACGTAATTAAGCACGATAAGCCTTCTCGACCTTTACACTTCCTTTAGATAAGACGGAGAGAGTGTTAAACGTGGCGGTCGCCGGTTGCTACACGACAAATAGGGTTGTCAACTTTTAGGTATTGAACAAAACTTCATTTGATACTGTGCTATTCCAACCTCATCTATCATCTTTATAAATGATAGTTGTTAACCACGACGTCGACCTCGTCCCGTGTGTTCTTAAACGTTAATTTTAAATTTTTAGATAATTTAAAGAAAAAATTTCATACATATTTTTTGGGTACTTTTTTGCCCGTTTTTCTATATTTCCTACGATTTTTTCGGTCGTATTGTAGCCTAAAACCATCCTCGATAAATGTTCTAGCCGATACAATAAGTTTTTTTAAATTCGAACCAGTATTTTCTGAGTTTAGCGTGTTCAAACAAACTCTTATGATATTAGTATTGATCAACACAGATTTTAATGTAACAACGAAAATACAAAATCAAGAGTCTGACGCCCTAGAAACGGGATTTTCCTGAAATTATCTAGACAGCCCTGTAGACGACGCCCCTAAGCTCGCGATGCGCAAGCGCACCGAAGCATCTCCTCTCTCCACTAAAGGTAACTGGAGCTGCACTAATTGGCGGAGGCACGCGCCGCGTTCGCCCGCCGTGCCGTTCGCGACACGCCACTGATGGGATGTGAAATCGAACAGCCACTTTTCAGTTTTAGGGTTCCTAGGTAACTAGGTGTAACTGTCGGACTGCGAGAATGCTACAGAACCCCAAAATTCGCTTTTGATGCCTACGTCTTAATTAAAGACTGCTAAACGATCTGTAGTTTATACGAGTAGAACACATTTAAATAAAACACTTTAATCGTTTAAAATGAAGTAAAAAGAAGTATAAGGTGAAGTTAAAGAAAGTATTAACTCACTTAACTAAAACAAAGAAATCACAGTTTTACAATCAAAAGAGATCTTTATGAGTAAGTATATAGCGTAAAAAATTGTAGTTTATAAAAGTTGTATATACAATAAATAAATAAACTTACCCTTTCCTATTAAAAAACAGAACAATTTCAATGTTTTCATAAAAATAAAAACATGTTTAAAACTGATAAGTCTAGAACCGCGCGTCAAAAACCCGACACCCGCTTAGCCGTTTTCTATATAAACTGGTAAGAGGCACGCGAACCGTATAGCAATTTTTGCACTTATTGGATTTCAACTTTCTAAGAAAATAGTTCGGTTGAAGTTCAGTTTAATGTAATTTAGATCGCGATAAACAAACGGCTTTCTATCGTACTATCAGATCGTTGATATTACCGTGATTTGTTACATTTCCCTTTGTGTCCGTATTCTGTAGTACAATTCTCACCTGACCGGAGAACGGGTGCGCAGGAGTCGTGAGATTAATGACATTAACTCGTTTAGGGTTGCTATAGCAACGGAGATCTAGGTTCTATTATCAGCAACAGAATTAAAGACTAACTTAAATCACTTAAAGAGAAGAAATCTTTTTCTTTGTGAACAATATTATTTTGAACGAATATTTTGTGGCGAATGTATACTATATAACAACCGTAACGTCTATATTGTAAGTAAGTAAACTAATACATTACGCGTTTTATAAAATAGACAGCACATTTTTATTTTAGATCTTACATGGCTGAGGTATTCCACCTACCAACAAAGGAACCCCATACTTGTTTGTCCTCCTTTATCATAAAAAAACACGTTAAACCGGAAGCGAAGGGGTTGACAACCCTACTAAATGAACGGCGCGTGCGACTAGGTATGTGTTCATTTCACGCGCGCGCGCCTCTGATTTAGCTAGAATAAGAGTGTGTTTATTAGGGTTCCGTACCCAATAGAAATAACAGTACCCTATAACGCATTTTTTACTTTACTTACAGGAATATATATACTGTATGTAGCCAACGCGAGTAGTACAGATTTTAATAAAACACTTAAACGGTTTAAAACGCGATTTATATTAGTTTAACTTATTTAAAAATTATTTTAATTACGGTTCAACGTTTTCTATAAATAAGTTTAACAAATATATAATTTTAGTTTACCCACGGGCCATGTGTAGTTGCTTCCTGTCGTTCTCGCTTGTAATCTTAAAAGATAGACGTATTCTGTTGCGGATATTTTTTTAGACTATTTAAAAAAATATATATTTTTCCAAATATTTTTCGGTAGGTACCTTGAATCATTTTCGCAGCGTACACAACGGAATCCCTCAAAAATGAATAATTTTTCCTCGTTTTTTCCACAGTTCCTACTGTGGCCCATCGCAGGCAGATATTTATAGCTTAAGGCTTTCTTCGATCCATCCAACTAACACAAAAAATATTTTTTAAATTCAATCTTGTAGATCCTAAGATTAGCACATATAAAGAAAGTCTTCAGCATTATAATATCATTATAGATTAAAAACATGTTGAACATATTGGAATAAATATTGAGCTTGAGAAATTCTTAGACCGAGAGTTCGACTCGGACTTGACCGATTTTATTTTACAGCAATTAAAAAAGATAGATTGCAATTTGACCCGCGGGCGGCGAGCGTGACGAAAGCTGGGCATTATGATGAATGCTGGCCACTTATGTCTGTTCTCGATCAGATAATGACCCACTCTACTGTTTGTTCAGTGTTGCCACTTGACTGGCGAGAATGTCGCCTTTTGTAATAAAAGTTGGGCGACAGTTTAAATATCACTTTCATCGTCTGCTTACAAGAGATATTTTTTTGAGGCAACCATACTTTTAAGTATATAATATAAATATAATTTACTATTATTTTTAAAATACATATGTAATTGTCTTTTCTACTGGAGCAATTCTAAAAGCTTTACAATAAAACACTTTCAAAGGTTTAAAACGTGAAATGTATTAGTTCAACTTATTGTAACTAAGGCCCGACGTTCATTATAAATAAATGAGATACTTCAACAACTAACAATTAAATTAATCATTAAAATATTTTATCGTAATAAAATTACTCGAATGCGGAACTAAATTGTGAAACATCGAACAGCTAAAGCCAAGAATTAGATACAAAACCGTTCTAGTTAATATTCATAACAGAGATTTGCGTCTTGAAACATTGCTTTAACAAATTCGCATTTTAGCCCACTAATTAATTACAGTAAAACAACGTTAAATCTAATTTAAACCTGACTTTATTTATTCATAGTAATGATATTGTAGCTTTGAATGTACGGAATATGAAATGCGCATGCGCAAAAACGTCCAACAAACAGCTTTTATAGTCTGTAGCTTACGGGAGCAGTGCACGTTTGAATCAAACTCTTAACAGTTTAAAACGTGAGAGATACACTTATTTACAATTTATTATAACCACGCCCCGACATTTCGGATAATTTGCAGCAGTTATGGGGTGACTACAGCTGCTGCGAGGATGGTATTTCACGTTTTAAACCGTTAAAATTGATTTATTTTAATTCCTAATGCTGACATTAAAATTTGTATTCATTAAACACCTACATTAGCTAGCTTAAACTACACTTAAAAAATGAAAACGTATTTAAAACCTAAAAAAAATATACTATCTAATTTTACTATTTTTTTATTCTTTCAACAGACTTTATTAGCAATATCGCGGGTAGGCCGCGGCGGCAGGTCGCGGCGCAAACGCGTCGGCGCCGGCGCAGTTCCAGAGCATTTTCCTCTAGATCTCTCGGCGGCTGGCGAGAGTGCTTCGAAACGCGCTCGACTCTCCTCCAGCCCCAGCACCAGAAGCGATGATGACAGAGATAGAATATCAAATGAAGGTAATTCTTGTTTTTTTTTTTTCATTTAAATTTTAAGATGAATTAAGATTCCTCTTTCATTTCGAAAGAATTTATGTTACGATGTGACATTATTTATAATGGATTAACGTGTATTTTAAAACTCTAAACTATTGTGATTGTGTTAGATTCATTACTATATGTGTGGTTATAATTATATTATTTTAAATATAATTAGAGATAAATGATTTTTTTTGTTTAAATCGTAAATTAATTGCTTTTTATTCTTATTACTATTTTACAATGCGTTAAATCTCGCTGACAAATAAATATATTCATTTATTTAGCAAAAGGAAACAAACAGATACATTACACTTCTTCGTGGGGCATTTGGCAAACACATTTCTATGTCTCTTGCAATTTTATTTTATTGTTAATGGTATAACAATAAAATATATTATATACAATAAATACAAACCATAATTGCCTTTCACACTCCGCGTTTCAAGCTGCGTTAAGTAGAATCTATTAATGTAATTGCGAAGATTTTCATATATTCACAAGATTGCACGGAAGAAAAGTCAAGGTGCATTACATGCGCACGCGACTAATATTAATCAATAATTATGAGTAAGATGTAACTGTTCTAGCTGTAATTAAAATGATCACGCGTCACTGCGTTCTTGCATTTTATTATTATAACGCATTAAAAACGTTAATTCATCTATAATTTATCATAGCTGTGATTATTTATGGTCTTTTCATTCGAATTATGGTTTTTTCGCTTTGAATTTTTATAACGTAAAGGTTTTTAAGGTGCGAAATGATGTGCGAGCCAAGTGCGAGCTGGTAGATGTTTATTTTAAAAAATAAGACTTTCCTGTTATAAAGTTCAAGTACAATTTTTTAGTTATTTTAATTTAAACGCCATGAACTTAGCTTAAACTATATAAATACATTATTACTTAATATTTATGCTTTTACGAATAGCTTGTCCTTTGAATAAAGCCTCCTCTAAATTTCCATGCTTGCCTCTCCCTTGCTGTTGTCCATCTTGTGCCGGTCACTTTTTTAAGGTCTTCCGAGACCTTAACCTGGTCTCAAGTCTTTTAATCTCACCTTCTTTTTGATTGGTAAGGTGTCATTCAAGTAAAAATAAGAAGACTCTAGTAAAGAAACATAAAAAAAAAGGAAATAATTCATACCAAAGCTAAAAGAAATTTTGGAATTTCTATTTCTCTTGCCGGTTATTAGAAAAGTTACCGGTATGAAAAAAATAAAATTAAATAACGGTATAAAATATGGTGTATACTATAGATTGTAAGTAAAATTTTAATTAATTTGTTTAGATCGGAGTGAAACGCGCGACTGCCTCTGCGCAGAGGCGCGCGCACGAGTTTCCGCGTGGTCGGTGGACGACGTCTGCGACTTCGTCAATTCCATCGACATCTGTGCTGAATATGCTTCGGTAAGTTTCCCTTTATCCTACGCTTATAATAGAAGGAGGCGTGCAAAGACTACAAGGATTTTATAACTAGAATACTCTTGAAGCTACTAATGATTTGAATTTGGAAAGAGAAATGATTAGATGTATTAAATATTTATTAATTTGCGATAATTGTTGTAGTTGATATTTTATTTAATAATATTACTTCGGTAACCAATATTAACAATAACAATATTACCAACGACATACTGATTGATATATACAAATCTAATATAACGAAGGCTAACTCAAATGAAGCTAATCAACGTTCAACAGAAGCTAACACTGACGTATCGTATCGCTACCAACAAATCGTAAACTAATGAAACAATATGATTGTTAAGAAGCACAACACAGCAAAGCTTGTAATATGTTTATCAAACGATATCGAAATGATTTTAGGTAAATAATATCGCTGAGAACGGGACGTGAGAAAACTTTCGAGGTAACGCTCTCAGTTCAATTAGAGTTTCGTGTATCCATTGAAGAGATATAGATTAGCTCTTTGATCTAGTGGATAGTTAATTCATACTGCAGTTTCAGCCAGGGGGTAGAAGTAGGAGTTACGAACATCCGAATAGTTATTATTGCAAATTTAGTGGCGAAACTAGTATGCTAAAGCTGGAGTCAAGTGATGGGTCTAACTCTTAAAGCTCTGTGTCATGAGATTGCAGATTTGTGTGATATTAAAATGCACGTTTTGTGTCGGTCAATAACTCAACAATATTTGCAAATGTAATACATGAACTTCTAAAGATCATTTATGAACCAAACGAGTTTTATCAAACAAACAAAACTTTATTGTCACCACAATAATAACACAAAAATAAGATTCACTTAAAATGATTATAAAAATATGTGTAGCGTGAAACGGTAACCTCGTCGCTACAAAGCGATTTCTTTCAGGCAATCTTGTAAAGAAAACAAAGTAGCTTGTAGGGAATTCGATTGTACTTAAATCTTCACATATCAAAACATAGAACAATTAAAATGCGCAATAATTAAGTAACTGATCCATACATGGTATTTTTAAAACGTGTAATTAGGGATATAATTGACGGGTTCGTTGGTGTAATGGTAGCAATGTACGGCTAATAATCAACGGGTCGTGGCTTCGATCTCCACCGGATCCAACATTTTCCTAATAAATGTATAATTTGAAACATGTTAGACTGCGTATGTAAATCTGGATATTAAATGGATAGTAGGAATATGAGATGTCCGGGTAACAAACCACCTCCAAGTTGAAAAAGCCGGAAGTTTAATCACGTTTCGGTTTCAGTCTGTTTCCGAATATCCAAAGCCAAAATTGATGAGATGATTGATGAAAATACAATTGTTTAGATGCTATAGACTGGAGTATTTTACTTACCTTCGAGAGAATTTATTCTTGTATGTCCTCCTCTATTATTAGAAGAAACTACCACGCCATTGGACACGGAGGTCTGTTTTTTTAATCTGGTTACTTCTGAATGATTGGATTAATCTTCCATACTGTCTATAGTTTACGCGAGTAGTACACATTTAAATAAAACACTTTAACGTTTTAAAACGCAATATATTAGTTAAACTTATTTGAATTTGAACGGTCTCCCCGTTACCACGGCTGGTGTAAAGCATCCGAAACGTCGGGTCGAAGTTAAAAATCATTTTCAAATAAGTTTAACTAATATATCGTGTTTTAAACCGTTAAAGTGTTTCATTTAAATTAATCTTCCATTTGAATTACCTTCTTAAGAGCACGTACAAATCACGGGTAGGTTGCATTTATTTATGGGTTTATAGTTTCTCGTTTGTTACGTTTTTATTGTGGCTATAGACGTTTGCATTACGATACAGCTGCTGTATATCGTAGAGCTTGTATTGCCTGTAATAATCGACTTTGTACGGGTTTTGTATTTTTTGGCTACTATTAATGGGTCGTGGATTCGACTTCCACAAAGTCAAACTTGTTGAAAAATATAAAATCTCAGACATGTGAGACTTCATTTAGTATATGTTTATATACTATATGAAGTCTGGTGTATGGTTTTAGATCGTGGATTTACGAATCCCAATTCACAATAAAACAACTAGGTAATCTTTAATTAACTAATTTTTTAAATAAAACACTTTACGGTTTAAAACGCGATATATTAGTTAAACTTATATGAAAATGATTTTTAACTATGAGTTAAAAATCTTTTTAAATAAGTTTAACTAATGTGAAATGTGTACTTCTCCCGTAAACTATAGACAGTATTTAGACTAATATTTTCTATTGCTTTTAGTGGTTAAACACACTTTTATCAGAGTATAACACTAAATTTTTGATTATGTTATATGAAAATTGGAGAGGTTTTAAGAATTGAAACATAACTTTAAATATTCAATTTATATTTTACTTATATTTAAATTAAAAATCGGTTATAATGATTATATAATTAATGGCATTGCTGTGTATCGATTTTTACATATTTATCAAATTTTAAACTTGAGATAAAGAACAATTCATAATAATTATTATGTAATATATCCTTAATTCAACACTCCTCACTTCTAATTTTACATGCATTCGGTGTGCCGTTAAATCACGTTTTTGCGCGAGTCTAACATTTTCACAAGCACGTTTGGGACTACGGAATTTGTCCCTTACGTTTTGTAATGATTTTGACACGGCACTATAGCGTGACGCCAAATTGACCATTACAACCTTGCACAATAATGGGGCACGAAGCTGATTTACACTACAGCGAACTAAGCTGTTCAAGCTGCCTTGTTGCTCAACACTTTAGGTTGCGCGAGTCGTTCTAGGTTCTATTACCGGGGAACAATTAATAGTTACAGACGTAAATTCATTTGTCAATAAAAATGATCAGTGAACCTGTCTGTCAGTATATATGTATGTATGTCTGCCCAATACCCCACGTAGGAGTCATAATTTTTCATACTTTTTTTTAAATGATCAATTCGAACATTGTCTCGGGGCTTTCAATATTAAGCAGCTACACCTAGGCCAGCTAGACCAAGGGCGCTAAAGAAGCTAGACTGATGCCCAAGTGAGAGGTACACCAAGGGGCGTTGTATAGATTAATCAATTCGGTAGCGCGTTACGTAACGGACACTACGTCTGTCATTTGCGTTAACTAACCAATTATAAACTAAACAAATTAAATTTTCAATTAGAATCAACAAAATCAATTAGAATGTCGGGTCGTGTTTAAATCCACATTCCAACGGATTTAAAATAGGTGTATATTGAGTACTGTTCGCGTAAACTAGGGACAGCCATAAACATGACACTGTTTTGGCTAACCTAATAAGTATTTTAAATATTCAACCTACCGATTGTACACTAACTTTATCGTCACGATTTGTAGATCTGTGGTATATGCGCATGGGCAATAACAATAAACTTTACGATTAGCGACACTGACTTTCGCTTGTATAAAATCGCTCATTTATCGTTTCGCGGATAACTAAGTAAATAAATCACTTTGAGCACTCCGGAGACACGATATGTTTTCCAGTCGAGCCGTTTAACAATATTCATTAATTAAACATTTTAAGTATTTTACCCGACATTCCTTAATATGAAATATTTTTTATTGTATAACAATTAATTATTTGTAAATAAGCACTAGAATTTCTAGCGAGGTGCAGAAGTGATCATCTAATCAAGTACAACATCATCATTGATAAAAATTTCGTGTTTTAAACCGTTAAAGTATTTTATTATTCTTTTTTTAAGTGCGGAAAACAGTGCTTTAGTTTATACATAATATTTATTTTTAAATTTCGAACCATCAAGCCATAACAATTTGTTTTCATTGTACAAAACTTGTTTAACAAAACAAGCAACAAGAAAATTCACTGGCGACATTGCAATAACACCTTATTTCTTTAAAAACAAACAACGCACAATCAACTTTTATTTCCGTACAACCTGTGACAAGTTTTTAAAGCTTGTTCAAGATAGGGCACAATTAATATTAATTTGTGTACAAATTCAAGAAATTCTTTGTAGTAATTACATATTAATAAATCATACTTTAACGGTTTTAAAAACAAATTCGCTCGGACGGAGCACGGAAATCTGATCAACTACTCGTATGTAAAACAATCTATCAAATAACACAAAAACGTATACCGGCGCTTACAGATTTAAAACCCGTGAAGATCCGCGGTACTTTTCGAAATTCAAAATAGGGCAACTGCGCATATAACCATATAGGCCTCTTCCTTCGAGAACCTCGTCTGTTGTTCTTATGTTAAAATATTATCATTAGAAAACTTTTATTCTTTTCATATGATGGCACAATATGACACGGTAGCTCAATTGTTTGGCAACATCACGGAACGCTGTGGATGTCGGATCGAGTTCCCCTTGTATCGTAGTTTTGTTTAGGTATTTGGTCGAAACGTGACGATCTGATACGATCATTTTAACCGAACGATCTCGATACGATCATTTTAACCGAAAAACGTGATACAATCTAACCCGAGTTAAACAGGGGACAATTCTCAGACACGTGATTTATAAGATTTGTCAAATTTTGTGCTAGTTCTATAATAGGATATGGAATCCCGTTTCAACCGTGGGGCATGGGGCGATTTGCTGGCTACTATTTGTTCTGTGACTAGCTCGATCGATACAAGCCATTGTTTCTCCGGGTCTCGAATCCAGGAACTCTCGCGCTAACGCAATACTTGGCAACGCCATTAACCATTTAGTTATAGAGGCGGCAAAAGTATAATATCTGGTTCTATGACATTTTGACACAATTAGCGACTCATATAGGCGACATTTTTTAATCGTGAGGCTTTAGAAGTTAAAATTCAAACAGCGCGATGGTTTTAGAGAATTAGTTTTTGTTATGTCGTTTCGTTACTTAGTAGTAGTCAAATGTTCTTATAAACATTATATAAAATGCCATATTATTGTATTATACTGCTAAGAATTCCTTAACATATAACAATTATTAGACAACTTTACCAGTACC